TAAGTTTCTCCCAGTCTACTTAGTTCTACCAGAAAACATAGATATGTCATAAATACAACAATGAAGACAATGAAAGCATAGCTAAACTAGGTATAGGAAATCTCCGTCTGATCCGTCTGTATCGGTCTATTAGTTCCTTTAATGTTCGCTTCAACAATTATGAACCCGCACAGTCATGCACTGGCCGTTGACCGGTCGTAGTGTAGAATTGGCATCTTCTGCCGGCGAGTGGGGAAGTTCTTCAATTATAGTTTGATGCCTGAAGCAGTTAATCGGCTTGTCTGCTGTCTCGATAGTATATATCAGCGATTTTTCACTGTTAATTGTAGATTTAGATAGTACTTAAGCCACATCATTTTCTTTGCCTGGTTTTTAAATCAGGCGGGCACTATGCTCGTCAATAAGCTTTTTGTTTTGCATTTGCGTTACGATAAGATACTGAAAATGTAAAGATGATAAACAATTGCTTATAGTTCCCGATCATAAGTACCGAAATTAGCTTCTTTATCTCGCTGTGTTCTTGAGATCATTGTCATCGGGCCCCTCTTGAGGCAACACAGCCCCAGGAACATGTGCTGAGGCGGTGGTTGTCAGATTGAAAGGCTTTTTGAAGTCGGGATATCTTAACATTAAATATTCAAATATCAATATGTTTTTTTTAATATGTACACTGGCGCTCCGTTGGTTCGAATGTTGACCAAGGTGTTAATTTTATATAATTATTGCTACAATTAATGTTAAAAAATAGTAAGCCTGTGATTTTCCAATGTTTAAATTGTCTTTCAAAAGTTTATGGTTAGACTAGTTAGACAATTGTCCTAACTTATGCTTAGGCATTTAGGATTCAAAATCAAAGCAACCGTTGGGTCAATTGACGAGATAGATTATATAAAATATTTATTTTTCAGAGCACACTTGTTTATATTATATAAGCTTACAGCGATCGTAAAACATTTCTAAATCGATCCAAAACAATATTTGCATGGGCTTCTTTAAATATTAAAGCTGGGCGGAATCGAATGGAAACATCTCCACAGCCACCTGTTTGAATACCATTCAGCCTTAATGTGCTGACTATCGAGTCCCTTACTTTGGAGTTAGAGCAGTTTACAGCTAAGAATGTTCCGCGTCCTCGGGTAGAGTTCAATAGTTGGGGAAATTCGCTTTCTAAGTTTAATAGACCCTGTTTTAAAACTTTGCCAGCAGCTTCAACATTTGCCATTAGTTTCTCGTCTTTAATAACTTTCAATATTTCTTCCAAAAGAATTACTTTTCCTGGATCACCCATCCATGTGTTAAAAATTCTGTAAGGTTCTTTTGGTGCGAAGTCGTCGTTATGGAAATATCCGCCAAGTTGCAGTTTTTTACTAAACGTAACCACATCAGGTGGATATTCGAGGTTGAAATGTTCATGGCACCAAAACTTGCCAGTGCTTCCTCCTCCAGTTTGAACCTCATCAATCAGAAGTGCAACGCCGTTAGTCTTACAAATTTTCTGTAGAGCTCTGAAGAATTCAGGCGAAGCTTCGTTGTCGCCGCCCTCACTTTGTATGGGCTCCACAATAACACCAGCAACAGGCTTATCTTTCGTTTTATACTCCTCAATAAGACTTTGTACTTCACTTAAGCACTTCTCATCTTCTTTTTTGTTTTCCGCAACGTTGTCCTCTAATGGATACTTGTATTGCGGAAATGATGCAATAGGCCAGTCAAAGGAAGGAACATCAATTTTATGAATATATTTTGAATGTGTGGTAGATAAGGCTCCTAGTGTTCGACCATGAAAAGCTCCTTTGAACGAAAGAATACTGAGGTTCGGGGCGCCAGGTGGCAAGTTAATCATACATGAGTTCATTTCTTCTGCAGTGAATCCCTTTTCTCCACGAATTTTACTTTGGTACCTGAAGAAATAATAATAAAAATAATATTATTAAATTTGTGTGTAGTAACCATTAATATTTAAACGTAGGGCTGATTGCTTTCGGCTATAAGCTGTACCCAAGACCTTGTGAAGCAAATATTAAAACTACCAAGGTTTTATGTATACTAATGGAACTAGGACACTAGGCTCTTCAAAACGGATTTAATGAATATCAGCTACAGCATATAGAATGACAATGGGAAGCTAATGCTGATATTTGTTACTGCATCATAAGCCGCTGCATCACCATCATGGGATGACAAACATAATAGACTACCATAAAACAAGTCGCTGCACACCTGGCTAATTGGCACCGTTGTCCTTCTTAAAAAGTCTTGCCGTCAAGGAGACGGGTGTAGACGCAGATGCCAAGGGGTAAGTTAGTTAATATACAACATATTAAAAAAGATATTTTGACCAAGTCTGGACTTTCTTGTTGCCGCTCCCTAAATATACGCAAATCCCTATATTAAGTTCTTTCCTGACATCTTGATCAAATGCGTAATTTATTAATTAAAGTCTTCTCCTAATATATGAGCGATATCTAATTATCATGAGACTCTTATATTACATAGAAAGAATCGGCTGAGTTTATCAATCGTTAAATATTATGTTTAGGTTACTCAAAATGGGTTTCGAACGTTACGTACCAAAGGAAAATGCTCTTGAAAGCATTTTCGTTTGAACATGATCCACACATCATTGTCGTGATTTTGTTCAATCCTTTTGGAGCTATATTCAGTAAGATCGAGTTTAGTTTTTCCGGCCATTCCTTTCCAGGAAACACACCAAGTGCTGGTCTATTGATCAGAGCTGAAATATATCAAGATTAATTGTTTTTTGTTTAGTATGGTCCAGTTTAATCCTGACTAAGGCTTTGTTTATTAATCAGAATTTTACCATGCGAGAGTTACTTGTTAACTAATATATGCTTATAGTAAATAAAAAGTATTCTTCTTTAAATGAATGATTAAGTCAACTTACTTTTCAAATTGTTTTCATCCTTGAATACGTTGAGGAGCCTCGGATGGTTATAACCAAGAGGTACTGATGAAATTTGAGTGTAAACATCAAGTAAAGCATTGCCATCAACATCAAAAATATAGTTTCCAGTCGACTTTTCATAATCGGCAAAGAATTGCACAGTTCCTGTACTCTGTAAAACATTGAAATAAAGTACCAATTAAGCACCTTGTATTAAAATTGTAACAATTGAATTCGTTAAATCCTTAGGTCAAGGTCCCGTTCGATCTCCTCGTAGTCAAGTTTCCTTGACGCAGAGTCGAACGTTTTTATCGAATTTAATAAATGATCCGTTTCTTGGCGTACGTAAAACAGAGTCTGTTAATGATTGCTTTATTATTTATTATCGGCAGGGTCTTTGATTATGTTTCTAATAATACCGAGTGCCTATTAATATTATCATTTCGCCATCTTTGAATATTTATGATGTGTTAGCAAATTAATTTTCCATTTCTTTCAATTAGTTAGTTCAAGCATTTGAGCCTAACCTGGCGATCAGATTCGCTAAAAGGCACTTGAATGTTGGGTTTCAATCAGAGAACCAATAAATTATGTACATATGTTAACATTTGTGAATAATATACATACACACATTCTTCTATTTACCGCCATACTATAGTTAAATTGAATATATGTATATCTACATGCATAAATAATAAAGTTTCAATTAAATCATATGAGTGTACGTGCATACAAGTTATCGCCCGACTCTTGGCGTATATCTAGTTATTTAATTAATATATGTAACTTGATTTATGGCTGTCGGTTTGACTTGCCAGGTAATAAAAAGGTTGATATTTTTTATATTTTGCCAATTTACCTATCATATGACTATTACTAGTTAGTCCTCCTCTATGTCGCCGTTCAGCATAATTCTGAGCTTACGCCTCGCGCAAGTCTCATATTACGCCTCCACTGCCCGATATTATAGAGACCCGTACCCAATTTAGTTGCTTATTGTTTACTTATATTAAATTTAATGTACGCTTCCGTTCGTTTGAGTCTTAATTGCTTGTTTGGGTCCCACTTTGAATTGCGTTATTTACTGAGTACAAACCTACACAGCTGATTTAGGTTCTAATTTAAATGTTCTCTTACGTTTTGCCGACGCCGTGGCATTTATGTGAATAAGTATAATACTTTTGCTAATTTTTAAATCCGGATTGGGAGTTTATTTCCACTTAAACTTACCTGAACTGCACTCAATTGACTCTTAAGCTCAGCAGATTTTGGTCCAGGTATTGTCTTTGTACGCACAATTGGTTCCTTGGGCTCCCAATTTGTAGAATACGCTTTAATACAATTTACACCTAAAATTAACATTAGACAGTTAATTTTTCCATGCATGAATATATTTAAATGTACATAAATAAGCATAGAGAAATACGTGTACTTCTTTTAACCTTACCATAAATACTGCATTTACTTCTCGCATACGTGTGTGCCTTTGGCAACACGTTCACTAAAAAACTGCTCATTTTTCACCTTAATTTGCAAAACTGAGGTCTCGAAAGGGTCTTACGGATGGACGTTTAAAATACAAGTGAAATACATAAGTTAACTGGCGGAGCTCTTGTGGATCTATGTACATATAAATGTATGTTGCATAACAATTGGCTACCCAAATTTAAATTCGTAAATAATCATGGTTCTGCGTCAAATACATTTTGTTCATGAAGTAGGGTCGTCATTTATTAAGACTTATCGTACGTCTGCTTAAATACCTATAATTTATAAAAACAAAAAAAAACCAATAAGAACATTTACTTATATATCTAATCTAATTGGAGAGCAAACACCCCAGATATTGTTTATCAACACTGCCTTTGCGAAAGGCAATGGAAACATTTTGGGTTAGTTTTAAAGGGCGAATCTCGTTTACTCACACAGTCGATTCCGTAAGGTGAATTACATTGAAAATAGGCTTTAATTTTTCCTGTTTTTTTTTTAAAATTTGTTTACTAATTTGAAATATGAGATTGACATGCAAGTATAATTATAAAGATGTTGTGACCCCATTTTAATCAAACGGAAAAGTAAATGTTAAAGCAGAAAATTATGCATATTAATTTATTGCGTTTACATTACGACTCACAACAAAAAATTAATAATCCTATTCGCTCTGCTTAAACCTTTCACTTATCTCATTTCCTATCGGGAAGTTCTTAAAATATCTATAGAGAAACTCTGGATTTATGTAACCTGGCAGCTTATTATAAGTTATTGTCGTTTTAAACGTAGTTTATGGTAAATCCCCCGTTGACTAGGTTTATTTACGAGATAACATACATGTTGTTCGCAACAGCTGTTCGACCCTTGTACTCCCAGCTCCTATAATTTCGTCGTAAAGGCGTTTTGTAGTCTGCCGTTGACGGCGCTCCTGAAGAAGAGCAAGAAATGGACGTTGGGTAGAGAACAGGAAGCAGGGCGTCGTTTAAACGAGGGAAGAACGACTGCGCATGTTTCAGCTTGTTCCGACTTTTCCTCAAATTCATCGTGCGAGCCGCTTGTGAGTGTAGCCTTGGTGCAGGTTAACGCAGACGATAGAGGGACAGGAGCAAGTGATAGATTATGCGATCCGCCAGATGCTGAAAGCAAGAGAAGATCCATTCCGCTTCTGAGAAGGAGTGCTTAACGATAGTGTTGTCATTCAGGAAGCTGCCATGTTACCTCGTAGGGTACCGCTTTGACATGATTACGGATTACCTGGCACTCAAATGGCTGAACTCAGAGCCTCTCTGGTAGGATAGGGCAATGTGACTAGCAATTTCTTCATCAATTACAATCGAGGAAACCTTAACATTAGCCGATGCGCTAGCAATGTGGGCCGATTCCCTCCGAAAATGGCTCGCGAGTATGCGCACCACAAAAGCTGAAGAACCGGCAAAGTTTACCGAGTACGGAGACACGGCGGAAGACAAGACTATATTCCCTGGAAGATTTGCATTCCCAGTTGTCGACTTCAGATAGTGTTGCAGACATCAAGGCGTGAGGAAGACGGTGGTCTAGATAGGCACATAGGTACTACTGGCCGAGCATGTTTTGTGCTGCCACCAAGTGTCTGAAATACTGTAAAATCTTGCAATAGTTCGAAGTTCGTATTCGACAACGGGGTACAATTTACAAGACGGAGTTTTAAATACCTTCTCTGGTCCTTAGGTGTGGAAGTCCAGTGTTCTGCTTTTCATTGTCCCCAAGAGAACTCCACTTAGAGAATCAACTGCATGGTTAATACCATGATAGCGAAATTGATCGAGAGGCGTCAGAGTTCTGGGGATGTGCTCTTGCCTGGCAGTGTCAGCCGGGTCCAGTCCAGCGATAGCTGTGCAAGACAGAGAACCGCGTCTTCTCGCCGCTTTATACGATTAGGTCACTTCGGGGTAGGCGATGAGTGCTCTTAACCCAGGGTGATGGTAGATAGCCTGAAAGATATTTTTGATATTAATCACAACAATCTACATCATACCTCAAAGGACATCGGCGTGCCATACAATATGCGGAGCATTAAGAGGGTCCATCCTTATTTGGAAAGGAAGGTCGTGGCTGTGGCTGCAACGTCGCCCATAGGGAGCGTCGGACTCGGGAGCGAGCGTGACCTCAAGCACCATCGGCTAAGATCCGCCGAATAGACGGTGACACCCCCATCGATACTATTGATAGTACCAGGCATCCATCTTCGCGGTGGTGCTGCAATTATTTGTTCGGTGCTTAACTTTCTGCTACTGTGACTGATCCGTCTCTGCAGACAGTTGCTAGATCCACATGGAAGGCTACACCCTTCAGCGACTTAGAGAAGACAAAGTACTGTCCTGCAATTTTCTTGGACAAGGTCTGACAGGCAGTCTTCGTTAATAAGCTTATACCCCTGTTCCATGAATAGCTATGGAAGGAGAGGAGTGCACCCCATCCGGGATGGTTTGCCTCATGATCGAATGTCGCCCTTAATGTCGAGAAAACTAGTGCCGCCTGTAGCTTGACAGGAGAAGGATCGGATACGATAACAGGTTGCATCCTGCAGTTCATCTAGAAAAACACTTGACAAAAAGGACTGGCTCCTAGGTCGGGTCGGAGCTGGCTTACCCTACGAACCAAGGGCAGGCTCTTCAAGGCCAAAGATATTCCAACGCTAAATTGGCACATTTATTTATTAGAAACGGGAATGGGACACCACACTCAGACGGGTCTGGGTTGCTACATGCGCCCGAGACATTGCTCGATTTGAATATCCAACTGCTTGCGAAACCATTTCTACCACCTCTGACCGGTACAGGCTCCACCTATTTGGGCGTTTTAACCACCTGGCTTGGCTAATTGTCAAACCTACACACGGAGGCGTCTGAAACGAAGGCGCCCAGATCTGTGATCCTGTTCCGGTCGCGAAATGGTTGACTTTATAAGCCTACCGAAACTCTGGGAAGCATGTTGAGTGCGATATCACATTCGATCGATTTTCGATCAATCGATCCAATGTCACGATTCTCTGTTAATCGTATTTTTACTGCTTAGAAGCTGAAAATGTCTGATATATCATTTAGCTCAGCTAGAAATGATCCTTCTAACATTAAGTTTTAATATGAAGAACAATTTTGTTAAATAACGTTTCCCAACTAAAAACAACAATTACGACCTTCAGATGGTCCCTAATAAATGAGTACATTATTAAAGCTTAAAAAATTAATTAATTAAATAAATAATTAATTAATTAAATGCCACATATTATTCTAGCATCTAATGCCAATGGAAGATAAAAATATATTATAAATAATGACTATAGAAAAATCCAACATTCAAAAATGTTGTCAAATTAAATGTAAATACATATGTATATTTTTTGTTAGTATTAGTCTTTGTATGTATAAATTATTTTTAATTATGTATATAAAAAATATGTTAATTCAATAATAAATGTTGTGAACGATATTATTAAAATATCGGTACACTCATTTGGATATCGATATATCGATACTTATCCAACATCCCTAAAAGCCACCCTAAAAATTATTGTATTGATTGTGTTTTGCTCAAGCTATTGTTTTGCCATTAAGTAAATTATATGTTAATCTGTTTACTTTAAGAGTGTATCGCAAATTTAGTTATAGTGTTAAATGTTACAGGTAGGAATTATACTTGACGTCTTATATTTTATGCTCGTATAAGTGTGTGCTCAAACATACATTTGTTTATTTGTACATTAAATGTATGTGTATATGTGTGAACATAAGTATGTATGTATATGTATACTGCATGCAGATATGCTTATGTCCGTGTCCCTAAATTCGCAGGTGTTTATTTATAAGTCATACACATATTGCCATGTACAAATAAATATCCCTAAATGTGCAAAAGAAAAGCTTGTTCCGGCATAACTAGCTTGTTATTATGTTTCACCTTCAATCACCTGCCGTGTTCGAGCTTTCCATTCTCAATTGTAATTATATTCCCCTAATTACCGACTCGTTAAATATAACAAATGGATCAGGGCATTTTGACCTTGGTATGCTCAATTAAACACTGTCCTTATTTCGAATATTGTTTTGAAAATAATTGTACTCAACTAAATTGTGTCAACAAAACGTACGGCTTGAAATATTGATTAATGTAAGCTATTCTAGAAATGCTTAATAACATAACTTTTCTGTTCAACGAATATTGGTTAACTAAATGTAATAATGTATATCACTTTGATTCATCGTGCGCGTAACAAGATAAGAAGATGCGCTGGTTATATGTTATATTGTTCAAATGTATAGTTCCCTTTCTACTACCTTTTAAGAAACGCGCAAAAGCGCTCTCATATAGCCTGTAAGGAGTAAACCTGTGATACTTGCATGTATATATGTATGTACATAGTTATATATTCTTGATCAGCATTTATTGTTGAGTCGGCGACGGGCACTGAACGCATGCAATTAGATTTACTTGGTCGTGTACATTTACCTAATACCTTCGGAGAATTCGCAATAATAAGTAGAGAAAGTCTCAAAGGAGAAATAGAGTGGGACCAAAACCGAGATGTTATAGTATTGTGCCCGAGTCTTCAGGACTTGCTCAACCTTCCTTATGAAGGAGAGCAGTGCTCTTGGTGAAGAAGCCATGATCTGAGCTGGGGAGACAAAGCATGCCCAGATGTTTCCTTTTATCCCATGAAATGGATAGACATTCACAGAGTATGTGCATAGCAAATTATACACTCTGCCAGGTACTCCAAATTTCAAATCTTTACCTCATAGGCTCTGGGATCCATGATTTTTTACAGACGGACGAACACACAGAAGAGAAGGGATATATCGATCCGGCTACTATTGCACTTCAAGTGTATATGCTTTGTATGGCCGAAGATTGGTATATCACATATTTTGCAAGGCCGATTCAAAAAATATTGGAGGTCGTAAAAACCGAACTGCCTAGGAGTAGAACGGTTCAACGACTTAAACATAATAACGTAAGATTTATATACCATTTTAAAGGATCGTGGTCTATATTGGTTGGGTTCGGTTGGAGATGTCTCCGTCAATACATTGCACTTTTCGCGACATTCAACTAATAATCACAGCTTGACTAAAATAAATTAGTGGTGTAGTCTATAGCGTCCGATATACTATGATTGATTGTTCTTGAGAACCTTGTGTGATTATTGTCCGATTTTTATGAAATATCTAGACTTTGTTAATGCTAAATGTGTGTGTATTCCAAAAAGCAAAGCTATATCTATGCGATTTTATTATTATTTGGAGGGAGTGCTTGGAGGCACCCAATAAATTTAATGTTCTTGATTTGAGTACTACAAATTAGAATATGAATGTCAAATTAAATGTTGAAACTTTTATAAACTGCGATATATGCTCAAAAACGTAATTATCATAACTTATGATCTACGAAAACTTGTATTCAAAATCGGGGTCTCTAGGTCTTCTTTTCTGAGCTCAACGTGATCATGCTGACGGACTTGGCTGGATCGACTCAGCTGGTCGTCCTGATACATAATTTATATATTTGCAGAAAACATTTTATATAAATTAGGAAAACCCGCTTCTTAATATATTTTTAACTTTATATATGTATGTGTAAACACAATAGTTTTGGCTTTCTAACACCTCGTTAGCAACTGACGCTTTATTGATTTCTTAAGATACAAAGCAGATGTGTTCTCTATGTTAAATATCAATTTCCGATCGATTTCTCATATATTTCCATATTCATTTGATTTTGCTCATTGGATACAAGTTGTTAAGTTCACTTTCATTCGCATTTTCAACGATTTTCGTTCAAATCCATTTGAGGGGTGTTTCACACATTTCCGTAAATTCATCCCTCTTTGGTGGAAATGGGAGTCAGGGACTAACAATTCGAATTTGAGCTTATAAAAACATCGATATTTGTGTGTGAAAATTAAAATAATCAGGGTTTTCTGTTGATTTTATTAACTCTTTTTTTTTTATTCTTAAACCATTTTTTAGTAAAGAAATGTGGCTAGATGGAACGCTGGTATGAATCATTCCCTGATATATTCCGTTAACCAAATTGCTAAAAAAATAATGTATAAGCCGGAACAGACCTGTAAGTAAATTTGTTGGCATAATATCAAAATAATTACACGATTTAGCGAAGCAGAAAACCACAGTTAAAAATCAAGCTAAAATGATTGATTAATTTCCAAGGATAAATTGAAACATGACACTTATTATGAAAGAAATTGATGGTAAAAATTATCAACAGTCGTCATTATCGACTACTTATTTATTGAAAAAGGAATTTTTTAAAGAAAAAATCAGGATCTTAAAGGAGTATTGTAAAATTTTAAGCTCAAAGAAAGGCTTTGCCGATCCAATAATGTATACATATAATATTTTTGATCATCATCATCAGGCGTCCGTCCGTTCATACGTAAAAACACATTGGTCTTACAGACTGTAAGAGCTAAAGACCTGTAATTTAAAAACTGGGACCTTTAGGTGTACAGAAAGATTGGATTTATTTAAAATCATCAATAATTCGTGGAGTTTCCCTGAAATCGTGGAGCTTGTGGTATCTCTAAGTCCGGCAATCCCGACTCTTAATTTTTTTTAATTTTACCCAATTGTATTTTTTGAATCCATTATATTGACTGCTCTTCGGAAGTCTTCATGATACTTATAAATATATATTTGGCACATGTGCACGGTTTGATATTGATAATTTTTAATGTTGATATCACAGCTGCCATCCGATCCAAACCCGATCCGTCTTGAACCCATTTTTAATCGAACCCAAAGCGTAATCGAACAGTTAAAGTTTTGGCCGGAAAGCTAAATCGCACCGCAATCGATTAAAATCATTATTGAAATTATGATTGTTGACCATATATCGGAGCTTGTAAGAGCTAGAGACACCTAATTTGGTATATATGTGTTCGTATAGTGTACACAGATCTGGATACGTGCCCAGTATTTCTGATTTTTTGAATGTATGTGTTGAAGGGAACCTAGTCGGACACTACCGACCAGATCTTGATCCATAGTTACAAATTAATATGCGAATTTTTCTGCTCGATTTTGGTTAAGTGGGTGGTTTTTTTTTGCCGAGCTCACAAATTTAGATGTTAAACTTGAAGAAAGCAATTAGAATAAATAAGATTACTAAAACAACTCTAACTTGCATATCTTAAAGCTTTCGTGCTGTCATTTTCCTAGAACTTAATATTATCTTTTCTCGCATCGAATTGTTTATCGTGCATACTGTAGCATCAGCTAGTTATTTAACTATGCCCTGAATTAAATACTTAATGTAAGTGTCGTCTTCAGTCCCAGAAATCTTAATTTTAATCTTCTTCAAACGTAAATTTTCTTGATTTGAGCAGAAATGTATTTAAATCAAATGTCGACTTGATTAAATAGCAAACACGGCTCTTTTCGGGATGTTTGGATTGTGCAAGGCTTGCGATTCGTTGCCAACGCAACAGTAAAAAAAATAATTTATTCTTTCCTCGATTAATTGTGTGTGTCCTCCTCCGCCCGCGCAGGAAAATACCCTGACCCCATTGGAGAAGGGTAAAAATAGTATAATAGGTAATATTTTCTAAAAGTCAGCATTGAATTTTGAAACCTACAAAAATATAATCTTACATCCCTACTAAAAGCAGATATAATAATGAAATAATTTTGGTTGAGACTTGCACAATAAAAGTCAATTCCTTAAAAATATATCACGATATTTTCGAAGAGTCGAATACTTTTTGACCTCCAATCTATCTAGTTGAATTATTATAAAATTTGCATATTATTTTAGTATGTGTATTGCAAGAATACTAGATAAATAATATTATTAACAAAAACAAAGTATTGGGCATTGAAAACATGTTGAATTAAAATTTTAGGTTGGCAACCCTAGAGACGGGAACAGCAAGTTATTACTGTGTACAGAAAATAAAAATTGGTAACTCAATAATCAGGCTGTATACAGATAATTTTTGCGCATGCGCATAAGTCAATATGTTTTAGTCCTTCGGTTCACTTAGCGTTAACAACTTACTGGGTAATAGTTTAATAAAAAGTTTTCTAAAGCACTCGCAGTAGAAATGCAATGTAAATACCATATAAAAATTGAATACATATCGTAAACGCAATGCAATATTATTAACATATATTAATATTGATTGAACGTTTAACCACATACTATAAAATACTGAGAAAAACGCGTAATAGAGATAACGAGTTGAATCATATTGACAAATTAAAACCAAATTTATATCAAATTGTTAAAAGTGAAAATCGACATATTCAATGGGGTGCTTAAGTAGTAAAGATCGCCTAACAAAAGAAGATATGGAGTTTTTGAAAACCCACACCCGTTACGATGAAGCCACTATAAAAGAATGGTACAAAGGATTTAAGGTGAGTTTTGCACAGCCCTTAATATTGGACAAATTAATTTATAAAAGTATATGCATTGTTACCTTTCGTGTAGCAAGATTGTCCCAACGGCCGTTTGACTCCAGCTAAATTCGTTGACATGTATAAAATGTTTTTCCCATCTGGAAATGCGGAAGAGTTCTGTGACCATGTTTTTCGTACATTCGATATGGATAAAAATGGCTACATTGACTTTAAGGTAATTACTTGAATAACAGCATTTGCTTTGTGAAATAATTGCTTTATAAGTATTCGTTTTTTCTTTCCTTTTTTTTTTATAATTACAATTTCCTTACAAATATTACTTTTTTTTTTGTACAACTGAAATTATCTGACATTAATCAACAAGAAAAAGATATATTTATATGAATTTTTGTTAAAATACTTAATTAACCTATAAAATAATTAGAAAATATTCAGTTTTATCCCGATAGCCATATGGAAAATGCACCATTTTTTCCCTAAGGTGTGTTACCTGTTACACGGAAGTACTATAATTTGGGCTTAAGCAATACAACCATGTTTTGCCAGTATACAAGTATTTGTGAATGCAATCGAGAGACATTTTTGCTAGAAGCAAACACATAGTTGAAATTTACAACGCAATTTGGCCAGATGTTTTATTAAGTAGACATATTCAAGATCCGTGTCCGCACCGAGACATATATAATGGAATTTTTAGTCTCTTAATATGTCCATTAATCTCCATTTATTCCTTAATGCTATGGGATATACCCTCTTTTAGTTGCTTTTTTATTAAAAAATAATAAAAGTTATTTAAGTAATGGCTACTAAAAATATCCATTGACAATGATAAACTCTGGTATATTTTTTGAAAGGTAATTTGAATACTTTGCGAGAAAAACCGATAAATAATTAATTCTTTATTTTGCCTAGTTTTTACTTTTGCATTGCACGCTTTTAAAAGAATTTTACTTCAATACCATTTTTTATCACTTTCTTTTGCAGGAATTTTTACTCGCAATAGATGTTACTTCTAGCGGCACTCCAGAAGAAAAATTAAAATGGGCATTTAGAATGTATGATGTCGATGGAAATGGTGTTATTGACATTCAAGAAATGACAAAAATTGTTCAGGTACATCACAAACATTACAAAAATACTTAAATATGATTTTCTTTAAAACATGCGAAACGAATGGGGTTGAAAAAATGGAAACACTAGATTGAGGGATATTTGAGTAAAATGGGTAAGGGGCCAAAGGAGAAATCTCCGCACTAAACTCACTCCCACCAAGTATTAGTTCGCAGGGATGGGTAGACTATTTTAGGCAGTCTCCATTCTTCACGTCTGCTTTTCCCATCTTCTGAGATCTCCCTGGATGCCCATATTTCTTCTGTTTTTCTGTTCTGAAAATTGGTAGACTATGAAGACATGTCAAGTAATAAACTGCGTTAGGTAAACGGTCATTTCTCCCTTCTTCCTGTCTTTCCTGATGAGTTCCAAATGATGCTGCTCCCTCCGATCTTTGGAGAACCCATTAAAACAGCATCGGTATATTTTTTCAATCTCCGTGGCTACTAGCCGCATGCCCACCAATACTGTGGCTGCCCCGTCCGACACCGTCCGGAATCTAGAAATAGCGCGGAGTATTGCTGACTTACAACTAACTACTTAGTTTCTACTAATGCTGGCTTACTAATACTAATGCCCATATCCATACAATAGTATGGAGGTTACAACTCTTGCGAGATGTAGACTGCTAGCTGTCCTAGGTACTCCTATGTTAGATAGCATCTGCGGCCAGGAGCATATTTGAGCTCGAAAATGTTTGGGTTTGGCTAAATATCTTACAAAAATGTTCACACAATAACTGTACTTGCATTGTTTTAATCGTAATCAATTGTTTTGATTTTGATATAACATTTTTTCAGGCAATCTATGACATGCTAGGAGCATGCTCATCAAATCGTCCCGCTGATTCTGCAGAGGAGCGTGCAAAAAATATATTTGCTAAAATGGATGAAAATAACGACGGTCAATTAACTCAAGATGAATTTTTGAAAGGATGTTTGCAGGATGAAGAGTTGTCTAAAATGCTGGCCCCTTAAATATTTATATCCCATAATATGTGTGTATTTGATGAAATCAGTAATGAAATGTATAAATATTTAATTTATATTTCTTATACTAAAATTATATAAAAATATTGAATATCAGGTAACTTGTTTCAATACATATTTTACAATTTAAGCCGCGACTGGAACGAATATGTTGATTCAGTTCCAGCACTGAAAAAATCTGCTATAACTATCTATAAGTCGAGTATAGTGCGATTACTTATGAGAAGTGAAAAAGTTGTTAACAACGAGGTTCCAGTACAATAAGGTCTTTTGCGTTTATATTTTATGCCTTGGATATTGTATGTAAAATATTATTATATTTACGGCTAAAGCAAGGCATTCAAATATATCCGAGAGCAGTTACACATTATTAATGGTATTTTTAAAATTTGACGGAAAAGTGAAGGGGAGTTAATCATACTTTTCTTTCAATTTGATCGATAAATATTGGTTTTGAAGAAAAGTTTCTCAGGCATAAACCGAAGACTATAAAAGTTAAAAAAGCTCAATTTGGTAGGAAGGTTTTCGTAAAGTAAATATGAATAAGAATATTTGAATATTTACTATACCCTGTCTTATATTTTTAATTAGTTTCTCTGATGCGGGTGCTTTGGGTTATTGACTAGCATTGGTTTCGCAAGGCGAAAACTAAAACTCACTGAAGTGTATATTGTTGTTGTGAGCCTTGCTCTTGGGCTGGCATTGACCAGGTTGTCTAAGAAGGCACCAGAGGCAGTGGCCTAAGCCCAAGTTCCATTTAGTTGAAGACAACGTTTTTTTTTCAGTTGCAAATATCGTAATAAGGACCTAGGCTTGTGAACTGCGACTATTATCCGTCAGAGTAACTCCTGGAAGCCTTGGACCCTGTCCAAACATATATCTGCTTCGTATCAGCGAAGCGCGATATCATTTTGTTCATTACCCAAAATCAGTAAGGGCAGTTGTGTAGTCGGTGCTAAAGGGGACTTGCTGAATTCATTGTGTTTACTTTAAAGAAAAAACCTCTTTAAAGTCACATATGAAACTAGAGCTGTTATCAGTAGTTAATAACTCGGATAACTCAAATTTTACTTTTTAAATTTACTTATTTAGTATTTGAAATTTGAAAGAATCATTTAAAAATTTAATATTCCCAGGTAGGGACTAACAATTTAATACATTAGATATTGGTAAAATAACTTACTAACACGGAGTCCTGATCGTTGTGCTAAAGTCAAGACCAGTACGAAACTCGAGATAAGCTTCTTGCAAGATGGTTTGGTTTCGGTGATAATTTGATATTCTACTTAGTCTTTTGTTGTGATTTCTTGTCTTTCATGTGTGGAATATTCATCCCTATATGAATTCTCTCACACCATGGTGTCCCAGGGATAGTTCGCGAGATCGTAGATTGTGCCCGCTGTACTATGTAGCTACTGCTGGCACTCCCCTTAGCTGGGAGCAGTAGATCTAAATTGGTTTTAGAGTAGAGCTATAAAGGACCTTATAGACCAAACCAAGGGGTTAGCGAGCGTTATAAAGACTTGTCTTTGAGTTTTATGACTTCAATGTGCTTTGCCAAGTAAGTCGAATGTGAACATCATTTGTTTTCCTTTGGGGAAAATTACATATTACATGTATACGCCTATTATACTTTTTATTCGCTGACCTTTTCTGACATAAAACATAAAATTTGTTATGTACCTGTGAAAGTTTACTGAATTATATTTATTGATTTTAAATGAAGCTTTAATAATAATACTTACTTTTATATTTCAAGAAACCACTATAATGAAATCAGCTTCAAAAAATGGGAAAACAAAATAGTAAACTCAAGCCTGAAGTTTTGGAAGATCTAAAACAAAATACAGAATTCACAGGTAAATTGATGAATATCTATTTATTTCAAGAAATAATATTAAATGGTCATTAAAAGATAATAAGATAAATAAGTCCAGGTAATCCAGTTACCCACGTTTTTGGTATATGTCTGGAGCATATTGATTTTTCATTGTTTTTAAGCGAAATTATATTTTGCTGTGATATTTTGCCGATCTCGTAAATGCGCGCTAAATTTTAACTATCACCACTTTATTACCATTCCATACTAACAAAAAATGGAGTTTACATTTCTAAAAATTAATAATATACTGTTTCTTTTATAATTTTCAGATGCTGAAATTCAAGAATGGTATAAAGGTTTTTTGAAAGATTGCCCTAGTGGTCATTTGTCGGTAGAAGAATTTAAAAAGATTTATGGAAACTTTTTTCCATATGGCGATGCAAGTAAGGTATATTGACCTTTTTATCTAGTGCCTTTTATTCCATTAATGAATTTACACAGCTCATACACTTAAATCTTTTATTTCAAAAAGTGATGAACATATAGGAGGTGGGTAGTGCTACCAATTGATTATGAGTCCTACATGCCTATTTATTAACAAAACAAGAATGAAGAGTTTTATTTGTGGCTTCAGAAAAAGGCGGAACTATGCCAATTTTAACCAGGATAACTTTTATTAAGATAGATATTTGAGGGATATTGCTACACATAATTCATGGGATTAAATGTGGCAATATTGTAACGCCCTATGCAGGGGTATAGTCTCATGGTAGTCCGATTAAGGTATAAACGTGATAGACTAAGACTTGTGTCCGATAAACTGTCAAAATGTTTCAACCGTAGGAGGTCGGAGCTCGGCAAAGTTTCAAACGCACCTAACTTTAGAATCTGATGTGTAGCCTGATACACCCTACTCCTAAACATCTGGTGTTTAATTTTGACACAAGCACAGACAGACACAAATGGTATTATTTTTGTACGTTAGGCGTTAATTCGTTTACAATTTTTTTTTATAAGTTTTTGATACCCTCCGCAAAGTGTAAGAACATTTTTAACAAAAATTATATTTAGTTTGCAGAGCATGTTTTTAGAACATTCGACTCAAATGGCGATGGAACTATTGACTTTAGGGAATTTTTATGCGCATTAAGTGTAACATCTCGTGGAAAACTGGAGCAAAAATTGAAATGGGCATTTTCAATGTACGACTTAGATGGAAATGGATACATATCGCGGCAGGAAATGCTGGAAATTGTTACGGTAAATAATATAAGTATTAAATACATCTTCGTTTATTTGATCAGTGCCTCTCTTATTTTAAAACGACATCAATATTGTATAGTCAGTAGAATATCAAATCTCGGACATCCCAATTAGAAGTCTTTTTATAAACTCAATATTATATACGTCCATTTTTTCAGGCAATATATAAAATGGTTGGATCGGTCATGAAAATGCCCGAAGATGAGAGCACACCCGAGAAAAGGACGGATAAAATTTTTCGTCAAATGGATAGAAACAAAGACGGTAAATTAAGCCTGGATGAATTTATAGAGGGAGCAAAAAGTGATCCTTCAATAGTGCGGCTTTTACAGTGTGATCCGCAAGCACATTAGCTTAAAATTGATAAAACACAAGCAATAAACATTCAAACGTGAATTCATTAAATATTGTTTTGCATAAATAATGTATTTTAAGCAAATATAAAACAAATCAAATCTTAACACTTCCTATTCTAAAATTTACCGGTTTTGGTTCGAGTGAGGATGGATTACACTTTTTAGTCTCATCACGCAAGTTTGCCAAATAAAATTTCTTTGTGCCAGAGTCGTCGCCGTACGGACTAATTGTATTGATCCGTTCAGTTGAAATCTTTCTAGTTGGTGTCGTTGTTAAGGGCAATAACAAAAACTAGATCTTCCGGAGCAAATGGGAATTGGTGGAAAATAGGCTGCAAGACTGATTCCTGGCAGAACACGAGGAAAAGGGAGGCCTACCACCTTAATCCTCAGATACGAAAAGGAAGCAGCGTAGGATGAAGGTTGCCTGAGATGCCAAGCGTTCAGCAAAGGAGCGGTTGTCCCATTGGGAGAGTTATAGCCGGGAGTCAAGCTGGAAGCCTTGCCGAGCACAAGTCTGGGTTTTTGGGCAAGCCTGAGAATCCAAAGTGGATTGTTAGGCTCTTCCAGGTGTGCGACCCACCCCTGAATACAGATGTCTGCCATGTGGCGGAGGTGGAAGACGAGAGTGGGCTTTCAAGCCAAGTCATATTCATCTTAAATGAGGAATTTGCTGAGGCTCCTGCCAGGTCGGGCGGTACTGCCAAATATAATTATAAGACCGTAGCCATTCGGGCGTACCGCTTCGATTCTGTATCTGGCGATAACCTCGAAGTTAGACAAAGGGTTTGCCGGACCTTGTCATAGCGGTGATATTCATGCTGGATCTAACCCATGACTAGTTCAACCATACAGTGGTAGAGGCTTATTATAAAGATTTCTCTAAGACTATCAAATTAACGTTCACCACTGAAAGGCAGCGCCAAATACTTGTGTATACGGCGGCAAAGGATATCCACCAAGGACATCCAGGACGCCTAGCTGGACAGCATCTTGTAGATAAGCAGGAGTGTTTTCAGGGGAAACCCAGCAGTAGGAGAGCTAGGCGATATGAACGATCCGCCAGTGACCCCAGAGCGTATCCTTGGGTAATGTTAGTTAAGAGCTCGAGGATCTAGAGAATGATCGAAACAAGCCACCAGAGCGATCCACCAAAGACATCCAGGACGCCTAGCAGGACAGCATCTTGTAGATAAGCAGGAGTGTTTTCAGGGCGAACCCAGCTGTAGGAGAGAGCTCGGCGATATGAACGATCGGCCAGTGACCCCAGAGCGTATCCTTGGGTATTGTTAGTAATGTTAGCACGACTCGCTTCATCGGAATGCACGAGTCCAGGACTCGAAATAGCCATAGCATTCAGATTACGACATCAATGTGTCGGGAAAAGATAATCGGCGTCTGCGGGAGTCAAGACGAGCAGACAACAGGCGAGGACTAAACTCACGGCCACAGTGCAGATCGGTGCGACTAGAAGGTTTGTCAACAAGGAATTTGCGCCCACGCTAGGCGACGGCCGAGTCAAGACAGCCCACAGACAGGTGCGAAAATTGGCTGACGCTTACAGCAACGTTAAGCCAAAGAACAATCGCCACAATGAATGCATAGGAGAATGGTTGTCAAGTGCAGGGAACAATTAGAGGGTGTGGTGAGTATATCATCGTTTAAATTTATATTTTTATGTGACTATAAAATCAAACAGCCAGACAAAATTGTTCCGCGTGGCATTCCGGACATTCCTATTTTCGTAGAACATTCCAAAAGCAATAATCTATAGAACTGTCTAGCTTTAAAATGGTGTAATTTCACCGTCTTTCCATTTTTAAGAACAAGCATGAGGAATTATATAAAATTATTAGGTTTTTTCGAATTTTAAAGTTAAAAAATACCGAACTTAAAATCATATTTTCTTAATTAAAAACAATATTGTTGCAAATCCACTAAACGTCGGTGACGAGCTTCTCGAGAAATGATGAAAAATGCAGACCCCTGAAGTAAAGCTAAAAATAAATATCAGATTTTAAATATTAAAAAATCTCAATATAGAAAAATGTTTAATTCTGTTTTTAATCAGAATAAAGTTAATATTTAAACCTATTTCAATTAATTTGAGTATAGCAACAAGAAATACCAAAGAGTCCAGTGCCAATTCCATTATTTCAAAATCGCCACTATCTTGACTGTGTTGGTTCTTTGTATTTGTAAATGTACCGCGTATTTGAACCATACGACATTTGTTTACCATTAATAAAGAAGCTAAGAATTTATGTTTATGTATTGTTAATTATTCTAATGGCATCATGGAAAGCTCCAGCCCACTTAAGCCAACACAAAGGATTGGAAGAATTCAATCAGTGTATTGCAAAGACTTTGTGTAAGTAAGAATTGGGCGTACAAGTTATTCTGCCAGTTTGTTTAGAACGCCTTGTATATTGATATGTGTCCACATAATGTGTGAAAGTGGATGTTTATCCATAAATGCAATTAGATTTGTGTAAACAATTTAGTGAATATGATTGCGACTCAGAACTCGCAGGCGCATCTGCACATACTTCCGTAAGCATGTATTTTAATACGCTTGGGGCAACAGCTGATGCATTGTTGCATGAAACGCCGGGCCAATCAATGCAGAAGCACTATTTTGTCCGTGCCCTGCAAATTCCCTTGCACAATATTGCTTATACACATATACACATACATACATATGTGACAATACGCACATACGCACGGTTTAATCAAAAAAGAACAGCTATCTTGGGCACGCAGTAGACAATTAGCATGGCTTGCGGCTTTGCAGACGCGCGAAGCGCACAGAACCTTTTTCTATATAAAAACTCAATATATATATTTATATTCCAGCTCATATTCGGAAATTACATACTACCCGAAAGAATACCTAAACGTTTTAACGGGACCAAATGGAACGGGCAAGTCAACAATTGTATCGGCCATTATATTGGGACTGGGCGGTGATCCACAGTTGCTGGATCGCTCCTCTAGTATCTCTGATTATATTAAAAGCAGTAAGAGCTCTGCGACAATTATAATCACAATTTATGGAAAACAAAAGGACTCTGTAGAAGCTTTCAAGCGTACGATAAATCACAATGGAGAATCTCGATATTTTGTTAATTCTAAGGAGTTGTCAAAGTCCAAATATCTGGCTATTATTGCAACTTATAATATTCAAGTCAGCAATTTGTGCCAGTTTTTGCCACAGGATCGTGTCCAGGTATGAATTCTTTTTCATTCAATATCTGTACACATTATATTAGTATCCCACAATAGGGAAAGTCCATAGCTCTTAGAATTCTAGTTTATTTTTATTAGTATATTTTCCATCTTTACATTTTAAGGACTAAGTCCATGGTACAGTTATATGCAAACAATTTTTACAATTTTAGGACTTTTCCAAAATGAATCCGCAAGAGCTTTTAGTCAACACCATGTCCTCTGTTTGCGACAATCAGTTGATAAAGAACTTTATCGATCTGAAAAATATGCGAATAAAACAGTTAAGCGCTCATGCAGACCGAGAAAGGGAGCACGATAAACTTCTAAAGGAACAAAAACGATTGGAGCAGTAAGTTCTTTTTTCCTGAATATACATATGTACATACTACTTTGTAAATATTGAAAAAACTTCATTACAGGTTACAGATTTCGGTAGATCAATACCAGGAACGCCAGGAAGTATTACAGAAGTTAAACGTTTATAAGGCGAAAAAATTATGGGCTGAAGTAACAATAGCTGAAGAAAAGATCGATGGTTATAAAAGTGAATTGGATAAAGCGAAAGAAAATTGTCAAAGTCTGAAGAACGCGTATGAACTGGAAAAGCGATCACAAGAAGGAATTTCGAGAAAGAATGCAGAACTTAAGGAAAAAACAATTGAACAAGTATGTTTAAAAAAGTCTACCTTTGTAAATTTTAAAACTATTTAATTCCATTCAGAGTCGGCGAATAAATCAAGCCATGGTTACAAAAAGAGAACTGGCTTCCCAGTTAGAAGCCATAAAAAACAAAATTAATGAAAGTAAATGCGATTTAGAGGTAGGTTTATTTTATTATGTTTATTGCTATGTAATTAATATTATTATGTGTATTACAGAGAAATATACAGCTGTCGGCCAAAAGTATTAGCGAGGTGGATAAAATAAAGTATTTAGTGGAAACTAAACGGCACGAGTTGCAGCAATTCAACAATGAAAAATCTGAGGTGTTAAATGAATTGGAGATACAGAAGAAAAAGATACAAAAAACTCGTGAGACGACGATGAACCAGTATAATAAGCGAAGAGAACTTGAAACCATGCTGAACGATGAAAAAATTCCCGAAATTACAGCTCTATGTCACAAGATAGAGCGATTGCAAAACATCAAAGCACAAAAGATAGAAGTAGGTAAATAAAGCAACTTACATTTTATATTCTTACCTTATTCTAAACCACTTTTCAGGAGCTGCGTCTTCGTAATCCGAACTTAGTCAAAGCTATGAATTGGGTAGCTCAAAATAAACATAAATATAAGTGTAATATTTATGATCCAATGGTATTTGAGGTATTCATTAGTAGAGTTATTTATTGTTAATCGCAACTCCAACTACGATAATACTCTTTTGTTTCAGTTGAGCATAAAAAGTGAGGAAGGAGCCATGTATTTAGAAAACGTTGTCAGGCAGCGCGACTTATATGCCTTTGCATGTGAGGACAAAGGTGACATGTCTGATCTCATTAACGAACTATGCGTAAAGCAAAAGCTATCCGTAAATGTTATGTACTGCGCCCCAGCAGACGTGTGCATGTTTACGCCAACTGTTCCAATTTCAGAAATTACGTAAGCATTATTTGCCGACAAATATTAATTTTGTAGTAATCACTTTAATGACAGGCAAATGGGATTCGATGCGTATCTTGTTGATCTGGTCTCAGGGCCGATACCACTAATAAACAAGCTTTGTGGAAGCTATCAAATTCATAATATTCCCATTGGCAAAGATGAAGTTAGTAATTTTACAGCGTGTGTTCCCAAATCAATTCGAATATATTTTGGAGGTAAGTAATGGATGACCATAAATTAATAAATTTATATTGGGCACAGATAATAT